ATCAAGGCTCCGTACTTATATCTGCCGCCTGGCCTGATTCAATAGAGTATACTCTCGGAGATAAAATGAAATCACGCCAACTCGGTCGGTGTTAAAATCACTTCTGCTTTATTGTTCTCCTTTTCAGGGTTTTTATTTAACAGGTGGATGTGTATATTTGAGCGTAGCATTGCAGAAAAGTATTTTAGTTTATATATTCTAGTTTATCATTGGTTAGATCCATTTCTGCATAACTTCCTGCCAAGATGTTTATAGATGTTTATATCTTTCGTCTTGGGTGCGTTGTCTGAAGAGGAGGCACCAACTTGGTTCCTATTTCTGCTGCGTACTTCGGATCTTGGGGCGGATTTCTGAGCAAGGTTTTGAGGAAGGCAAACGAGCAAAAAGCAAATTAACATATATATTACAATTGATCTATTGAGATAGGCATTATGTCATAATCATGCTTAACCACATCCATTACAGTCCCCCCTAAAATGACTATTTCTAATGATGATTTTTCCTGTCCCTTTACCTATCACCTGGCACACCCCCTGGAACTCTTTTCTTCACATGCATAGGGGCCGTCCGAGGGGCTAATCCACCTCTGGTCCCGACATGTTGGTATGCACTGTCAGGTGGTCTCTGTCCCTACTCTTACTAATCTAAAGTGTTTGTGGTATTATATTTGGGGAGACACAGATTGTAATGGGGAATATGGTTTCTCGTCTTCATTCAGGTAGGTGTCCTCTTCTACCTGAATCATAGTTGGGGTCAAAGTAGTCTCATCAACCACCTTGGTCATCAGCTTTCTGGCATAGGGGATTACACAGCAAACTACTAGGCTGATGAAGGTCAGAACAATGAGAATTACCACACCAACTTGGGCCAATGCTTTCTGCCAACCTGTCATCCAATTAAAATATTGGTCCCACGGATCTGTGATACCTGAATTCTTCTTTAGTTCCACTGACAGACTTTCTAGTTTCTTAATGGCTAGGGTAACTTTACCATTTGGGCCAGTGTTGTCTGGGATGTAAGTGCAGCAGGTTCTGGTCTTATCTATCATGGTGCAAACCCCTCCTTTCTCTGCCAATACCATATCCAGAGCCATCCGCTTCTTGAAAGTCATTTGGGAGGTGGCTTCCAACTGTTCTGCTATTCCCTTAAGCGCATCCCTAGTGTAGTTGACAAACCTTTGTTGGTTATAATAGATGTCATTTATCCAATCTACGCTCTTATTAATAGTGATTATTGGTATAACAGTGCCAGTTATTTTAAGTTAATTTAAAAAAAGGTATTTTGTGTTAATAATTTCAGAGCCGGGCTTCACATTTTACAGCCATGCGCATAAAACACCTGCATGTTAAGAAGAGTTTTCTGTGTTGCTTTAACTTTGAGTTATGAGTGAACAATGACATCTAGTGTCCTGTACAAGGCACAGCACCTCAGGCATGCTAAAAGCGTATTAGCTGTATGGTCCAATACAGAACACAATAACATATTTGCACATGTGAAAGTGCATGTGCATGTGCATGCGCAGTTAGTAAATGTGCTAATTTCACATGTAAACAATATCATAACAGCAAAGCACACAACTTCACATCTTATTGGTGCGCACAAAAACTTTCATTAATTGGTTAAAACAATGCCATACTACTCACAAAAGATGGCAGTATGAATGCCTTGCATGGAGCCGCTGAGAACGATTCAAATTGTCAAAATCCAAACGAACACTCACAAACCCTGATCTGTGAGTAGCTTGGCATTGTTTTAACCTACTGTTTATGTTTATAAATCATTAATACTGCACAGAGTCCGGGCACTCTTCTTTGTGTTTTCTTTACATGACTGAGAGCTTTCCTATGAGGAGCAGCACGCATGTGACTAGTCAAACTGAGGGAGATGATAATAGACTGATACGCCGGAGGACTCTTTTCTGTAAATTCAAGTGAGGGATTTTTTTCACATTAATAGATTGCCGTTCTTCTTTTCCAATCAGGCCAAATAACTTAATAAATAAGATGGAGCAAAGAATATGAACCAGCCTGCATTTAAAATAATCATAGGTTGGTTTTAATTTACCCACTGAAAGCAGGTAAAAGCTGCCTTCTAATTCATTGCCATACATTACTGCACACCATTGCTTCTTCATAAAGAGAATGCTTAGCCCATTAAAATGTTGTCTCCACCTTGATTAAAAGATAGATAGATAGATAGATAGATAGATAGATAGATAGATAGATAGATAGATAGATAGATAAATAGACCTACTGCAACAGACAAATAAGTCAAACAACAATTTTCTTTGTAGTGTGAGAGGAAACTGGGGCACCCACAAGCAACCCACACAAACACATGCAAAAGCCACACAGATAATGTCCTACGTGGGTTTAAATCTCATGACCCCTGTTCTGCAAGGCAAAACATCAATAATTTAGCCCCTGAGCCCATATAGTATCAACCTGCATTTTAATCCATTTGAACCCTGTTTTTGTCATTCCACGATTGCAATTACTGTATGTTGCAACTTCCCAGATGGAATTAAACAATGTTTAAGTCTCCACTGCACCTGGCAGAAGAGAAGAGAAAAGGTACTAAAAGGGTTGGTAGCCAAAGACTGAGAGACAAGGTGATTTCCCATTACTTGCATTGGTGTGTTTTTTGGGGGCAAAATCTACCCATGGTAAGAGGTCGACCCAGTCATCCTGGTAGGATGAAATGAACATTCAATATTTTGATTTACCCTTTCCATTCAAGCACTGGACTGTGGGTGGTAAGCAGAAGAAAAGTGCAATGTGATGCCAAAGCACCGGGCCAGGGTTCTCCAAAAGTGAGCCTGCACCTTCCTGTGAGAGGACATTCCACAGAGGCACTTCCTTGAAGCCAGGGTGGGAGCAGAAGGCAGTTTTGAGAGGGAAGTTAGGTGACACATTCTGTAAAATTTGTCAACCACAACCCAAATGACGGTGGAGCCTGCTGAGAAAGGAAGGTCGGGGAAATAAATCACCAATGAAAAATGAAAATACATCACCAATGTGATGTACAGGCAGAGGAAGGGGTAGACCAGCTGGGGTAGAAGTAGTAGGGATTCCACACCTATGATACACACTTGAACATACTCTTTGACATCTTTATGAGGAGATGGCCACCAGTAATAGCATTGAAGGAAATCATAAGCACATTGTACACCAGGATGTCTGCATGCGGTCAGAATGCAGGCAAAGGGTCAGTCCAGCCAGCAGGAAGACATCGTTGAGAAAACAGGTAAAGTGCCAGTACAGGGGGAAGTCTGCTCAATAGGCAACACAAGTGCACATTGAAGGAGCTCAACGTTGCTCATTTAAATAGACGCGGCCCATTAAGGTTTGCGCCCCTATGAGGTAATTTGCCTCGCTGCCAAGGAGGAGATGCCTTGCAGAATGTGAGCAAGGAAGGTAAGTGACAGGAGTGTTTATATATCCTAAATAGAACACCGTTATGTTTAAAATGTATTTTAAATTTTTGTTGCATGGCCCGAAACATATAGCTATTTTGCTTCTAGAGGCAACAACGTAATCTGAAACTACCAAAAGTGTTTGTTTTTTTAATCTGATATGTTGCAGGTTTTACAGAAATTGTATATAACTTTACACAGGAAAAGAGTCCAAGTCCCATATATAGTAGAACACAATGAACATGCAGACACAAATATACTGTATGTTTATTTGCTTTGAGCACAAACTAGTCAATCACAAAAATGTACTGACACATGATAACAAGTTAAATAGGCAAATTCTGCGATGTTCTCAGTTTGTATCTTAAGACTTTCATCCAGATTTGCTCCACTGCTGCTGAAACAAACTCTTGTACCTTCCTCCCTCCATGCTCTGTGATTCTTGCTTCAGTGGCCATAGTATTTTCTCGCGTTCATTTTAGAGAGAGGTGGAGTGTTATTCTGGTGATGGCTACCTTCTGAAGATCTAGTGACTTGCTTCACATGGTACACCTTTTGTTAACGAATTACTGAATATACAGTAAAGAGTTGAGTGCTGCAGGAGTAAAATATTGGATCTGCCACTATTGTGCACATAACACACAAAATTGTATTTAGTAAAGCTGTGCGAATAACAATGATACACTTTGACCATAACAAGTAAAACTAAGTTAAACTCTATTATAATGTGCTGTTATTGGTTAGTGAACATTGTGCATATAATATTAAACCTACATTATTTTTTTTACCCATTAAATAACATAGATCTGTATAGTAGAGTTTTAGGTGTTTTTTGACATAATATTCTACCGTATTTAATTATATGCAAAGAAATTACCAACAAAACATTTTGATAATCAACAGATTCATTTAAGATAGAAGGTAAAAAGTGCCAAAATAATTGTGATATTTCAATGGACCTTTAGTAGGTTTTCATAGGTTTAAGTGTGCTTTTTCTTGAAACCATTCTCCTGCATGGATTCAGTTACTTGCTCCTGAAGTTTAAGGAGTTCCAAAGAATCCTGAAATAAAAAATTATGTTAAACATGTTATCACAAGCCCATTAAACTGATAGTAAAAGGGAATAGCAGGCAGCTCCACGTGTGCATATCTTTAGAAAGCTTCTTAAGTGTCCCCAAATTGCTTAAACCCAGGGAACTCTGTTATGCTAATCCTGAGCTTAGAATGCCAAGTTTAGACTCATTCTTATCTCCTACACTTCACTATTGTCTCCTGAGGCCAATCATGACTCTAATGGGTCAATAGTGAAGTAAAGGAGGAGGGAAGAGTACATTCCTGCTTCTAGTTTAAAGACCAAGGAGGTTATTCACTAAAGGGTAAAGAGTTTAGAGAAGGCAGGAGAAGTGAACAATCTAGGCAATGGCGGAACTATTGCCTTAGCGACCCAGACGGGCCGCTAAAGACGTGCAGAGGTGCGACCAGCCCACCTGAGACCCTGCAGAACCCACCATAGAGATTCTATGGTGGGCTCTGCAGGGTCACTCTCAGGTGGGCGGTGTGGGATCTCTGGTGGGCTCTGCAAGGAGCGTAACTAGAAATCACAGGGCCCCATACAAAATTTTGCTATGAGGCCCTGTGATTTCTGGTTATGCTCCTGAATCTAGGATATCATTGCTGAAGTGGAAAGTGAGCGGAATTAGAGAATTTTGCCAAATCAGCTATGTTGTCCTTTACTGGCCTTTACTGAATAACGCCCTAAGTGTACTTTTAGGATCAATTTGCAACCATATTTAGGGTGTAATATGAAAAATGGTTGCATCTCCAGCCTCCCAAACCCGCCCCCACATACCTGGATTGCAGAGTTTTGTCCCCACAGCATCCAGGCGTCTTTTAAATTTGATGTGGCTGTGCATGGTTCTGACTGTACAGCTGCATCATCCATTCACAGATCCTTTCATAGGATATGTGATTGGAGAGACCATTCACAAAAGGGTGAAGAGTTTGGAGAAGGCAGGAGAAGTGAACAATCTAGGCCAACATAGCTGAACTGGAAAGTGAGCTGAATTGGAGAATTTTTCCAAATCAGCTATATTGTCCTAGATTGTTCACTTCTCCTGCCTTCTCCAAACCATTTTGTGAATAGCCCTGTATAATTCTCATCTGCCACCGTCACAGAGGGACTTGCAGTTCTTGATGAAGTACAAGTGCAATTATGTCACTGCACATGTAGTTCATACGTATTCCAATGCAAAAAAAAATAAATATATTAATGCACATTTCTTCTTTTATAAAAGTGTGCATATGTATTTATTTATTTATTTTTGTTGCTACTTCAAAGTAGATTTTGCCTTCAAAGTAGATTATGGTGATGATATGTTTATTTTAAAGGGGGTTCTCTGCTTCATAAGAATGGTCCTCTAATTTAGACCCTAAATCTGTCCGTGCATGTATAATGGTATTCATAAAACACTATTACAACTGTGCATGTGAGCTACACTTGGAATTTTCATGTTATAGGTACAACAATGAGGCTGAAGGGAAGGCTTGCACATGAAAAAAAAACATACCGTAACCCAGGTTTAGAATAAAGTGGAAAGAGAACAGATTAAATTACATTTAGATTGTGTGTTATGTATCAAATATTTAGGGGGTTATTAACTAAGCTGCTGAAGGCAGCCGAGTGAATAACCAACTCAAAGTGAAGTGAGCCAAACGTTATTCACTTCAACCCTGCACATCGGCTACAAGCCATACATCGGCTGGGTGCAGTCAGCCAAACATGTTCAGCATGTTTGGTTGAGCCTAAGTGAGGAACCCGTTCGACTCAGCTGATCCAACATCTGGATCTGCTGAGCCGAACCTCCTGCAGTTCACTCACTGCCGTTCGCCCCTATTCTCATAGGGGCCGAACGGCAGTGAGTGAAAAGCTGAATGCCGCCGAACTGCATTCAGCTCAGTTATTCTGCTTGGTACCTCCAAATTACAAATTAGCGAGCAGAATTTTAAAAAAAAAATGTGAACAAAAGAAAAAAATTATAAAAAGAATTTTTTTTAAAAACAACATTTGATTTTTTTTTTTAAAGAAACAAAAATTTGAAAAAGTGTGTCGCCCCCCCCCCCCCCCTTCAAAAGTCATACCAGACCCTTTAGGTCTGGTAGGAGTTTTAAGGAGGAACTCCATCCCCAAAAATGGGAGGGAAAACCGTGGGGATCCCCCTAAAATTCCTAACCAGGCCCTTAATCCGAGCACGAGGCCTGGCAGCGCAGGAAAGGGGGAAGGAGCGAGTGCCTCCCCCCCCCAACCTGTCATACCAGGCCTTGGCACTGGGAAGGTGCTTTTTCAGGGTCCTCCCTGGAAAAGCACCTTGTCCCCGTGCCGATAGGGACATGGACCTCTTCCCCACAAGCTCCCTTGTGAATGAGTAAGGGGTACTTGTACCCCTACTCATTTCACTAAAGGGTTAAAAAAAATGTAAAGAAAAACACCACAGTTTTAAAAAAGTTCTTTAATTGAAAAAAAAACAGCAAAGGTTTTAAAAAATTCCTTTAATTGAAAAAAAGTTAAAAAAATTGATCCATGAAGTAATGCTTGTCAATCAATCAAGGAAGTAACTTGAGGACGCTAGGCTGTCGAACGACAACAACTGGGCGGAGCCAGCTGATATTTCATGGCTGGCTCCACCCAGTTTTTTACATTTGCGGAGAGAACGGTCAGCTTCGGCAGACCGTACTCCCTGCTTTGGCAGTGGCTTCGGCTCAGCCGAGTCGAAGCATATGTGTTCAGCTCGACAGAGTTGTTTATTTGCCTTCGGATTAGCCAATGCTTCGGCTTAATCTTTCGGCTCAATAGTCAATTACCGTCTTAATCTTTCAATAAGAACTCAAGAAAGTAGTTAGGAGGTGCATTCAGTTTGCCAACACATGCTTTCAATGCCCTACATTTCCATTCAGTATTTTCAGATAACTGGTGTAATTATGCTTCTTAAAACTTTTTTTTTATTTCCCCAGGGACTTGATTTTTATGAGCTAAGCATGAAGTATAGGGGAACTACAGAGCCAATTACAGAAGGAGATTGCCGTGGTGAGCTGTATGTGATGTGGTGTGCACAATACAGAAACGTTGCTTCTTGTGCCTGCCACATATTATTGACTGTTTTACTAGCACTCAAAATGTATACACTACTTGAATTCTTTGCTCCTATATAAAAAGTACAGATGGACAGTAGACCACACCACTGCCCTTAATCTGCCTTCACTGGGTGAGGTCCCAATTCTCAGCTCAGATAATCAGCACCATAGGGGAGGACCCTCCTCTACCCTGACAACGTGAATTATCAAAGTCCGATGGAGTCACTATGGTGCTTCTGCATCCTCATGCACAAGCACAGGCCACACAGATAGTAGATATGCTCTGACAGAAGCACTTTAGAACTAACTCTTTAACAATACAGATTAGGGATTAATGGCACAGAGTTTATTGCAGAGAATTTAAATAAAACACTTGATTTTAATTGCCCGAATCTACAATTCCTAGAGTTTGTTAAGTATGGGAGATATTAGGAACAATTTTCTCTAATGGCAAATCTTAGCTATATGAACTCTTACCTTAATTGCTTGTACTCTGCTTATCCAAACCATTGCATTCCTGTCATTAGGATCCCCAGAATTCTTCAAAACCCCATTAAATGCTTGCCTCAGATGTTTCAGTTCAATTATGACAGCTGTGATCTTTTGAGAGTTAAGAAGTTTAAAAAGTCACTATATAAAATATATACCATAAAATAAATACAACCCTAATTTGTTCTTGTCTTTCTCTAAGACTGTTTGTGGTATGTCAGTACAGTTAAATCTGTGAATTTGGATCACTGATGGAAGAAATGCTGGAACTGTGGTTTCAAGAAAATTCTATATCGACAGCCTGACACAGGAACAGATTGGCAACACAGGCAAAATGGAGTTTCAACTTTTTTTTTTAGCAGACTCCAACATCACAACACACTGTTGCCTGAAATATCAAGTGAACACACATTATATTACAAAGATCAATCTTGTGATATTGCTGCAATATTGGAAGCGCTAATTGGTATCCTGAAAAACATTTTTCTATGTTAAAGGTCATATATGAACCACTGCAGTTATGTATAAATAACAGAAATGTTAAGTTAAGTTTCCATGTAAGGTTTACAAAAACATCCCGTCCTCTATGATTATTCAGATACTACCATGTTTACAAAGAATATCTCCAAATGACTTAAGAAACACCGAAACCTGTGGAGAGAGAGATGTGAGATAACATACAGGACTCCACATGCCTGCTGCAAATACCTACTATTAGTTTAAGACAAAATGCATCCCTGGGTAAAATTATAGCATGTATGCCAAAATCTTGGCATGGCAACCATGTATTTTTTTAACAGAACAAGAACCCCAAAAGAAATATAAAAGTGAGGTCTAAAGATCACAAGGAATTTTGGGTAAAGTAAAATTTGGAGTACAACGAAGTACATGCCAACAGCATACCAACACTCTGAAGGCATTAGTACTTTACCTTCATTATTAAGCAGCATAACAGAGAAGTAAACCTGAAATAATACTGTACTAGATGTAAAAGAAGTTGGGCGATTGGCAGGAAATTGACATTAGCAACCAGCAGCATATATTCCCACATATTCAGAAGAACAACATTTGCCAGAGCATTCCAGCCTTGTAACCCGATGACACTCTCTAAAAGCCTGAACAAATGGGGCACTATTAGGGGGTGGGGGCCAAAAGTAAGCCCTCTTGAACCCATGGATTTGGAGTCCCTATTGAAATAACATCCCACTTGAGGATCACATCACGGTTTGTGTACACGTACTTAAACTGAAAGAAAAGTTGCTACCACTTGTGCCCACCTGCCCTACTAGCATGACATGATTATATCCTGGGAATTGGGAAGCAGCAACAACTGATCAAAAACGTCAGTAAACTTCCCACCCAACATTAGACTAATAATTAGCCACATCGCCTTACTTTCTAAACCCAACTATTCACACGTTACATACACTGAAAACCAATGAATAATACTTTCTTTCTTAAGGTGCCCACAAATATTTCATGACCATTTTAAACGAGACTGAGTATGATCCAGTATCTAAGGTACAGTGCAGGTCAGCCTTGCATGAGTGTTATTGGGGAACAAGGTGATTAATCGGTTATAAAACTAGTCCTATCAATATAGTTTTTCTGGTACTGGGATTGTCTGCTTATAGCTCCCACCCCCCTATCATTGCCCCATAAGCAGAAGAAAGAGACTGGCCCAGAAGACATCATGTGATCACCGGACAAATAATCAGCCACCTTCAGCCAATCTTATCATACAATCATATTTGTTCAAACACTACAGAGAGGAATCACCACCATAAACACCTAGGGAACAAATTCTAAACAGAGGATACAGGCCTCACTATAAGTAAACTTATTGCCAAACTGATATAATATAGCAAAGACAGTAAACAGATTACTTTTAGTTATCAAACACAGTCAACAGCTAGGAATACTCCCAAAATGCCCAGTTAGCTACAGTTAATACTACACAAGGACAACAGAAGTAAAGAAATTCTTCCAGAACCACCACTTTTTCTATATAGACAGCAAACAAATCTGTGCATCCTCCTCGTCAGATGTTTACAAATGGAGAAGAATGGCTCATTTCTGTATGGGTATAAAAAATGCAAGATATATTGATACACCCCATGTACAAATAAACCAGAGTAGCAACCACATGTAAGTACCATATTCAAGGTATGTATACAGTATTTGCACCTCAACCATTGCTGCATACTTGATAAAGCATATACCATTTCCAATATGCAGAACATACACTATATTGCCAAAAGTAGTGGGACACCCCTCCAAATCATTGGATTCAGGTGTTCTAATCACCTCCATGGCCACAGGTGTATAAAATCAAGCACCTAGGCATGCAGACTGCTTCTACAAACATTTGTGAAAGAATGGGTCGCTCTCAGGAGCTCAGTGAATTCAAGCAAGGTACCGTGATAGGTTGGCACCTGTGCAATAAGTCCATCTGTGAAACTTCTTTGCTACTAAATATTCCACGGTCAACTGTTAGTGGTATTATAACCAAGTGGAAGCAACTGGGAACAGCAACTTAACCACAAAGTGGTAGGCCACGTAAAATGACAGAGCGGGGTCAGCGCATGCTGAATCGCACAGTGCACAGAAGTCGCCAACTGTCTGCAGAGTCAATAGCTACAGACCTCCAAACTTGGGGTGGTCTTCAGATTGGCACAACAACAGTGTGTAGAGAACTTCATGGAATGGGTTTCCATGGCCGAGCAGCTACATCCAAGCCTTACATCACCAAGTGCAATGCAAAGCGTCGGATGCAGTGGTGTAAAGCACGCCGCCACTGGACTCTAGAGAAAAGGAGACGTGTTCTCTGGAGTGACGAATCGCGCTTCTCTTTCTGGCAATCTGATGGACGTGTCTGGGTTTGACGGTTGCCAGGAGAACGGTACTTGCCTGCCTCATTGTGCCAAGTGTAAAGTTTGGTGGAGGGGTTGTTTTTCAGGGGTTGGACTTGGCCCCTTTGTTCCAGTGAATGGAACTCTTAAGGCATCAGCATACCAAGACATTTTGGACAATTTCATGCTCCCAACTTTGTGGCAACAGTTTGGGGATTGCCCCTTCCTGTTCCAACATGACTGCGCACCAGTGCACAAAGCAAGTTCCATAAAGACATGGATGAGTGAGTTTGGGGTGGAGGAACTTGATTGGCCTGCACAAAGTCCTGACCTCAACCCGAAAGAACACCTTTGGAATAAATTACAGTGGAGACTGCGAGCCAGGCCTTCTTGTCCCCCTTGAGACGCCACAGCTGAAGCGGATCCTTGACAATTGTGGCGGGATCCGCCCAGCTGCGTGACTGACAGCTGGCTCTGCCTATCTAGAGGCAGAGCCAGCTGTACACGCCCCCTCCCCCGTCCGTTCCGCTAGTCAGCGCTGGCGGATCGGGGAGGGGGGAATCCAGCCCCTCCCCTGTCACGGCAGAGAGCCGTGACAGGATCGAGAGGTGAGCGAACGCCGGTATGTGTTCGCTCACCTCCCGATCTACTGAGCCGACCTGTGACAGTCTCATTGTCACAGGTCGGCTAGAACTATGATGTGAGTGAAAACCACTCACCTCATAGTTCTCCTTTAACTTGGTTCTTGAAACTTTTTCAGTTTTTGGTTCACCAATGCTGTAATACGGTTTTGTGACATAGCTCCATTATATATTTTGTATGATCTACCTGATTAAGTCTCATGTGGTAGTTTTCTCGCAGGTCACTGCGCTCATTCAGAAGCTCTTCCACTTGTTCTCTGCTTTTATCACTTGAAATTTTACCATCCTGTGATGAAGTGAAGAAAAATAATTGTAAAAAATCACTAAAGCTAAGAAAACAATAGGACTGGTTTAGAAAAACTAGGATTTAAAGGTTGTTCCATCTGTGTCTAACTCACCAGGATCCTTTGATTAGAGCAGTGGCACTAAGTAGCTTGTCACAGAAGGCTCCCTAGACCCCTCTGGTGAACAAACCACTGAAACCCTACTCTCCCATTCCAGTACATCTATCAGTTCTTATCCCTGTCCTTATGGGTCTCGGGGTCCACCACCAAAATCTTCCTAACAGCACCCTTTTCTCAGGCTCCTGTGTGAATGCTGTGACTCCATAGACTCCATAGATAGTAGACTCCTTAGTTTTGGAGTTTACTGCTGGCAATCAGACATTGGGAATCCTGCAGACACATATACTCACCATTTTACACATATGTTATAAAGAACAGCTTAATAGGGCATAAAAGAGTAAAAGTATATACAGGAATAGGTTGAAAAAATGTATTCACTAGGATTTTGATACCTTGGGGGTGATTTACTAACCTAAACACACGCACGCACTAGGTGCGTGTGATTTTTACACAGCAAAACGTATTTATCAACCAAAAAGTCTCTAAAAGCATATTTCCACTAATGCCATATATGGAAAAATCATGCACATGATGCATATATAATGCTGCTTCACAGTTTAGACAAAAATGGTTAGCTCATGCATTTACATTCCTGCATTCATCAACGCAAGCAACACAACATAGAGCTAATTTACACAACATCACCTTGCAAATTCATGCTTGGCTTTGCACAACACACCTGCTGGGTGTGTACACACTACAAAGGTGTCTAGATTCCACCAATAGATCATGCTGGGAGGGAACACACTACAGAGGTGTATACATGTTCGTGGTGTGTTTATAAGGTTAGTAAATCAACCTCCTTGTCTACAATAACCCTACTGCACTGTCTAGGTTTGTACAGCAATGGTGTGTGTGCAGATTTCTAAATCTCCAGCCAGTGGCAAATAAGAGTTACTACTTTGGACTCTACCATCCCTAAGGGCCCTTTTGCAGCTGCACCACCTTGCAGCACCCTCTCAGCTTTTCCAGAATTTGCTCAAACTTTGACCATATACAGTATATGCAAGCCCCTCCCAGTTTCAAGACCCAGAAAATATTACTGTAGAGACATACAGTTCACCTCTGTGAGTGCTTTACCATTGTGATGCCCTACACATCTTACTTTGAGTTGCTTTACAGTTCCTACGAGAAATTTGAAAATGTGCTCTTTTTCCTTATCTAATTTTACATTCCTCTTGAGAAGACCTATAAAAATAAAACAAGAATTTAACACTACTAGAAAATAATTTTATCTCTACTGCCGTTTTTACAGTATTTTAGTATATACAACCCAAACTTACTTTCTAGTTTTCTCAGTAAATCTGACAGATGTTGATAGCAGGCAAGAATAATTTCGGTATTCATTTCAGATCTTTTACTGGAAAGAAAACATAATGTCTCAGCATTCAAAAATGAATGAAACAGTGCTGATTTCAGCTCACATCTAGTAATTAACATGTGTTCAAGACTATAGAAACCTAAGAGCAGTCAGTATAGATTAAAATGTTAATTGAAAATTACACTGGTATGCAACAGTAATATGTTCCAATCTAAATGTATACTCTATAATTATTACAAACAAAACTAGGGTAAGAATACAATGATTACCATGTATGCATTGGAAACATTTAGCCCTGCAATATTTCTACAATTGTTACATTTAAAGAGTTTGTCCGCAGTCCATCCCAAACAGATAACTATTGGATAGCAAATTCTGACCTGCCAGCACAACTTTAAGGAAACCCCTTGCCTATATTCCATTTCCAACCCCAGCACAGCTGTGACATACATCTTCTTTGATCTATTTAATCTATAATAATGCCGATTCCTGTCCACAGCCGGATTATAAGAAGGTATATATCTCTTATTTCTGCTTGCACTTCCAAAAGTTGACGGGCTCTCAATCTACCCTACTAATGTCCAATCAGCAGTGTATTTTTAGTTTAGCTTGGATTTTAAAGGCATGTTATTAGGATTAACAATACTAATATGTACATACTTTTCTCCCCTATAATGTTGCAATTTCTTCTTGTTCTATACACAAATATAAAAGGAGCTCTTCTTTACAATTGAAGAATCATATTTAAAAAATAAATATATATATATATACTGTAATTGAAAACATTAAATATAACTTAATTTAACTACAGTTCCTTGTAATAAAAAAATAGCAAATATACTGTTATCAGCTATCAAAACCCTTAACAAATATTGTGTCAGTACCCCATTCACTATATAATGGTAGCATCAGCCAAATTATAGTAGCCGCAAAGCAAAGAAAACTCCCACAGCATCATGAAAGCAGATTTTCTTTCTCAGTGCAGCTTAGATTAGCAACATAAATCAAACTATCTGCACATAAATATGGCCGTTCTAGGCATGGGAACACTAAAATTAAGTCATTTTATAATGACTTAGTTTTAGAAATTTTATAATGATTTTTTTAATCATAACTTTACACTACATGGAAAGTTTAACTTCAGAAATATTATTTCATGTTGAAACAACTGTTTAAAACATGAAACCTAGTCAGTGAAACTGGCAGCAGAAAAAAACTTGAATATATTGATTTTAATTACAAAAACAAAAGGAAAAAGAATGTCAAAGAGCAATAAACATATTACTAAAACACTGAATCCAAGATTTACACAAAAGGTAATCTAGACACTTAATGTAGATGGAGTAAATGGAAAACAAAAAAAAATAGATGAGAATAGGCACAGAAAGTGGTCCAGGTCTTAAATCAGAGCAGGGAATTTGAGTTTTTACAAATTATAATGCAATAAAGCGATGGAATTGGTACAAGAATGAACAGGTGTTCCTGCTTTTTGCGGATAGGGAAAACAGCAGTTCTTACATGTTCTCCAAATCTGTGTAATGACAAAAATAGCAGGTTTACCTTTTTATTTTGAAAAAGGCACAAGGTGTAAAGTATGGTGAAAGAAGTGGCATAAGAGTATACTTTTGAGTGCCCTGTTAAGTATACTGCTGCTCTGGGTTAAGGCCTCTGTAAGCAAAAGGCCAGATCTCTAATAGCTTTGTTTTTTTTATCAAAGAGAGGTAGGAAAGAGGAAACAAAGTAAAAAGAAAGATGAAGGGAAAGAGAAGAGATGCCATGGATGACAAGAACCAGCCTCTACTGATTTGTTATTTAACAACCCCCACATCTAGATACCCAGTGTCTTTTAGATCCCCAGTACCCCCCGGCCCCTGGCTATCTAATGCACACACTCCCCCCTCCCCAATTTTGAAAAAATTTAATGTATTGCTAAGATAATGAGGCTAGAAGAATCTATTCCTGTGCCAGGGTCACTCTAGGCCACAGCCTATGAGGCATACAGAAATCTGCTTATTGTATTAATACATATAACATTTCTCATAATTTGCATACCTGTCACAATTCAGTTGAAGTTCATCTCCACGTTTACCATCATTGTCTTTAGACTCACATTTCACTTCCTGTAGCAAGAATAAGTGTAAGTAACCAGATATGGCTAAATAGTACTTACATGAAAAAGAAAACATGATTGCAATCAATCCAAATTATTCACAGAAAGTAGTTAAAGTCATACTTTGGCAGAAGTTCATCAAAGGTTATACTGTGATATAAGACAATTGTGTGCACTTAATTTGAATGATCATGGCACATATAAAAAAAATGAAATGGCACATATAAAAAAAAATACAGAGCTTTATGGCAATTGTTGCCCTTTATGAAGCCCAAAGTTCCCTTTAAGAAGCAACCAAGGAAGTCTCATTATCTGCATCTTCTATAATGTCGAATAAGGTTCGTTCATTAAGGGGCACAGCATTTAGTTTTTCTGATATGATTGGATTATACTTGCCTTGGAGGCCATACCCAGATGGACTTGCCTTGGAGGCCATACCTAGATCCCGTTGGACCAAAGATTGCAGGGCTTGCCTGAAAAATGTGACCTTTGGGCACTGGGTCCTGTGCGGCCGCACTGCTCGCACACCCCTAAGGCCGGCCCTGGGGCTGTGCCAGTGGCACTTCACAGACCTTCAGGTACTGCGTTAGTTAGTTTCCCAGTCCAAAGCTTCTGTACAGCCTCAGGTGTGACCCTGCCTCTGCAGTCTCTTAATAGGTATGCCATTTAGGCTGAACTTTGAAAGCTACTACATTATTTGGTAACATTAAATGCCACTATTATTATGTTCTTCTGATGTTTTTTGCAGCAATGGCACGTGAATGAATAAAATGCTGCACCCATTTTCCCAGCAACATTTTCCTAGCCAACAATAAAGCAGCATGTGTTGCCTAGCAATGATTTAGGCTGCTGTGGGAAGCAAAAGCACTACTGGGTGTCCAGGCTGACTAAAAATCCTAAGCACAAGGGGTGCAGTCTTGCAGTATCGGGTTACTCAAGCTCACAAACATCTAATCAGGGTTCAGCCAGGCAACACTACAGTAGTGGCGTACATTACCCATCATTCCAATCTGAGCATAACTCCATGGGGGTGATTTACTAACCTAAACACACGCACACACACACCAGGTGCGTGTGATTTTCACACAGCAAAACGTATTTATCAACCAAAAAGTCTCTATAAGCATGTTTCCACTAATGCCATATATGGAAAAATCATGCACATGATGCATATATAATGCTGCTTCACAGTTTAGACAAAAATGGTTAGCTTTTACATTCCTTGCAATTCAGGGCAGGGCTTTGCACAACACACCTGCTGGGTGTGTACACACTACAAAGGTGTTTAGATTCCACCCATAGATCATGCTGGGAGGGAACACACTACAGAGGTGTATACATGTTCGTGGTGTGTTTATAAGGTTAGTAAATCAACCCCAATGCCATAATTCACAAACTTGTTTTGCAACAAAGAAAATTAAGACATACGTTAATTGAACACAAGGCCACTGATGTGGTAAATCTATAATTCCTAATCATCATCATAAAAAAAATAGATTTACTTCTTATAGGACAATATACCTTTTTTTGCCTTAGCTTTCGTGGCTTCCTGGAATTTCTGAGTATAGAATCACTTGATGACCCAAAAAGCAAGCTGCCATCTATAGGGTTCACACAGCTATCTTCTTGTTTATGAATCTGGATTTCATTAGTAGTTCTGAAAAAAACAATAACCTAGTAGAGTTGCAAAAAGACTAAAATCTATCAATCTATTTTAATTCTGAAACTGTTCTGTTGGTCTAGAAAGCAAAACAAAAGCATGATCAGAGAACTATCAATCTATCTATAAATTCCGTTGCGATAACATCAGTGATGGTCAGATTTATTCCGCGGATCAATCCACTGATGCATTTTATTAATTAGTCTATATTTCATGTAAAGCTGTACACACAAGTACCAACTGTTGAAAGTTTGCAGATTGTTCTAAACTTTCCAGATCTATATAGGTTAATGTATGTGCTACATGTAACAGTCAGTTAACATAAATAGACAGACTACAAGGACCTTTAAACTGTAGTTCCACTTTTGCAGTCAAATTTGAGAAAACCCCTTTATTCACACAACATACCTAAAAAGTAGAGGTGCACTGAAATGGAAATGTCAAAACAGAAACTAAACCGAAATAAAAAAAATTGTCAGGCCAAAAACCGAACCCGAAACCAAAAAAAAAGTTTATTTTAATTTTTTCACATTTTTCAGATATTTTATGTGTATTTATTTTTTATAAATGTTTTAATTTTTTATATTTATTTTTATTTATTAATTACTTTTTTATTAAATATTTTAATTTTTTACTTTACTTTTAGGGGCTTCTGGGAAATATTAGGGGTTTAAACAGAGTCCTGATATTTCCCTTTTAAAATAGAAAACGAGCTTGAGGACACGAAGTGCTTAATCTCTTTTTCTGCACCCCAGTTATCAATGAACAGGAATCCTATATACTGAGTGTTCCTGTTCATTCATAACATGAGGACAGAGTGTGTTTACTATAACTACAACTATGAATGAACAGGAGGTGATGCAGATCACTTCCCATTCATTCATAATTGAGGATATAGTAACCATACTAGGTCCTCAATTATCTACAAACACTCAGCAATCACTGATCACTGAGTGTTTGTACCTGCTCTCCTCTCTGACAGCTGTCACGGGAGGCTGAGCGGGCGGAGCAAGGAGGAGAGCTCAGCCTCCTGTGACAGCGCGGGCTGTCTCCACCCACACAGCGCTCTGCTGGACTGTGATAGGAGGCTGAGCGGTGTGGGAGGAGAGATGCCGTCCGCTCAGAGCGCTCTCCTCCCACAGCGCTCGGCAGCCTTTCACACTTTCGATCCTATCCGCTGGGACACAGAGCAGAGCCCAGCGGGGAGGAAAGAAAGCAGCGATGCGCCGATGTATCGGCAGTAAAATGCCACTTTCGGCATTTAGCCAAAAGTACCATTTTCGGCCGATATGTTTCGACGGCCAATATATCGGTGCATCCCTACTAAAAAGTATTTTTTTTAAAATATATTTCTTACAGTTTTGCATGTTTCTTTGGTGAAGTCCTTTGTGCTAAGTCTTTAACCTTTTGTTAGGGCAGACAGTGTTCAAATCTAGTTTACAACTGATAACTAAATCTGTCAGCACAGATTATAATTATTATAATTATAGTAAACATAAGTTCCCACAGCCCCCTCTTAACATTACATAAAAAACACTTAAAAATGTAAGCAGCAATTGTTATTTTTTTAAAGTAGGGGAGGACCTATACCGATACTAGTATCGGTATCTGTTTCCCGATACCGAGTATTTGGGCAAGTACTCCTTCTCACCCAAATATTCTAAAACTTACCCCCATTACCGGAACTTCCAGTCAGAGGGAGATTTCCCCTGACCGGCAGTGCCATGAGGGAACATGGTGTTGGAACCGATAAAATTGACATCTATGATTCAGCTTTGATGGAAAGGTTCCTTGATATCCTGAACTGCCCGTGGCTGTTGATATGCAAATGAAGACCATCAAAGAGTTCCTGGGCTGGACACTGATCAAAGGAGATCTGCAGGACTGTCATGTCCTGGGGCAAGCCCGACCCCCTGCTGGTATTTATTGCTCACACCTGTGTCAGCAAGGCATATATGCTGGGATGGGGGCAGGGGCAAAATGATGGAACCTTCTTCCTGTGTGACACTAACCTAGCTCACCAGCAAGACCTTTGGACAAGACAAGTCTTTCTGAACTCTGCAATCAAGAATGTGATTCGCTGAGACCTGCTGGAGAGGCGTGTTCTGAGAACAGATAAAAACCCATGGCATGTGTGAATGAGTGAGAGAATGGTGTAGCTAGCTGTAGTATCCTTAACTTCAATTCCTACACCTCCAAATACCCCCTCCAATTCCCTTAATTGTAATTAGAATGTATGTATATCCCTATTTGTAAATAAACCCAACACTTATTTAAGATTCAGTTGTTCATCAGCAATTTAAGGCACCCCCAAAGCAGAGCACATTCTACACATGGAGCTGGCTTCCTGGCCAATCAGGAGGCCGGGTGGTGGGAAATGACGGCCAAACAGCTGGCTCCATGCTGACTGGCTGGGAAGCTGCCTTTCCGGCCAATCAGCATTGAGCCGGCCAAGCAGCATGTAGCCAGGCTTCCCGGGCAATCTGGAAGGCTTCTTCATTGCCTGGGAAGCTGGTCGCTAGCGGAAGCACCTGTATCGGTACTCGGTATCAGCGAGTACCGAAAGATAAATATCGGTACTCGTTCTCGATACCAAAAAAACGGTGCATCCCTATTTTTAAGTTATGCAATGTGAATGGGAACATGTAACAAATATGCAGTAAAGTAGATGTTATGCCAAGCTTGCTGGAAAAGCAGAAATACACTTTAATTTTCAAACTGAACTGAAAAATAGCAAACTTGATAGGAGAGGGGTTCAGGACAGCTAGAGATACACTTACAGGTCTATTCACTAAAGGGTGAAGAGTTTGGAGGAGGCAGGAGAAGTGAACAATCTAGGCCAACATAGCTGAACTGAAAAGTGAGCTAAATTGGAGGATTTTCCCAAATCAGCTGTTTTGTCCTAGATTGTTCACGTCTCCTTCTTCACTCTCTGTTCCATATAACTTCTGACAAAATAAGCAAAATGTTGCATCACCCTACTGCCCCCTATATGCTGGCAGTATAGAACAGCGCTGCAGCAGGGATGGATCCAGACTAGAGCCAGAGTTAGCTGTGCCCGCCCCCTCTGCTGTCTGCTCCTCCAATGAGCACTGGAAGTATAGAGAGAGGAAAGGGGGAATCCCTGTGGGGAGTGGTGACTAACAGTCACAGGTGCCCATACACTGCACGATTATCGTACGATAATCGTATGCGATCGGGTTTTCGTACGATAATCGAGCAGTGTGAACGGAGACGTGCGACCGTTTCTACTGTACGGTCGCACGTCTTCTGTCGAACCAGCATGTTCGAAAACCAGCCGGGAATCGTACGATTCTCGGCTGGTTAGAACGGTGCTCGGAAGATAAATGCTGAACGGGCCGGTGTGCGCACGCGCACACTGCCCGTTCATCATTGCGGTCATCGGAAGCCCGCCCCTCAGGAGGGCGGGCTTGCGATGATCGAGAGTGCGATCTGCCTGTCCAAGATAGGCAGATCGTACGTTTTTTGAATCCCTTTACAACCATCGCAAGACTAAAGTCTTGCGATGGTTGTAGAGTGTATGGCCACCTTAACAGTCACCACTCTCTGCAGGGAGAAGCCATGAGTGATTAGCGGTTTGTGATTGTTCAGTTCTTGAGCTAAATAGCCCACATCTGAAATGTTGTTTTGCAAATAGCATTTAACTGTCTCTTGTGACATGGCAGGAGTCTATAACATGACAATTTTTTGCAACATGCATTTCTTCTATGGTGGCAAATTACTTATGTATATGGAAGCTACTTCTTGTAACATGGCAGTCTCTTGTAACATGGTAGTAGTAAAAGCAGGTTTTGGGAAGAGTTGTGGGTTAGGTTGCAAATATGAGTCAGGTGTGGGTCTAAGGAAACAGCCCATACAGATCTTTAACATCCAAACAGCCAAGATGAAAAATGTGCTTGCAAGATCATTTGTTGTTTGTCATATGAATTATACATGCACATTGGCTTATTGAGGTCTTGTTCACACCAAGATGCAGAGCAGAGCAGTTTAAGAATGCATCAAAAATGCATCCAATGTATTCCAATGGTATTTTGGGCTCTAGTTCACACCACAGCGTTCAGTTCCAGTGCATGTGGAAAAACTGCAGCAGGCACTATTCTTTCTGCTCTGGAACACATGAAAACACATGCAAATGCATCAAAATGCATGCAAACACTCTGGAATGCACTGGACTACACCTGAAAATCCTTTTTAGGCTAAAAAAAACAAACAGGAATGCATCAAAAACATGTCAAAACGCACTGCATATGCAGAAACTCATCCAGATCTGGTCTGGATTTGGTGCGAACAAGCCCTAAATGATCCGACTAAAACAATAAACCATAGGACATGAATAAGGTGAATGTACATTATGTTTGCATGGATTTCTTTACAATGTACATTGAATCATTTATTTTCTGCTCTCCACTACTTATGCAGACTAATTGATATTATGCTCTGCAAAGCCTGTGTACTTAGATTTCCTGCTATTCAGATCTACTCATAATACACATCGAGCTGAACAATCCAGAGGATGGACACACTGTACACCCTCCTCTATATTGCTAGTTCATACAGAGCTGTGCAGTCTTTCAAATAGACAAAAGCAGTATAAAAATGATCAGGGAGTATTGGGATTTCTTATGAGAAATCCAGTGTGCTCCACAAACACCGTAAGAACACCCTGTATTGTATGTAACTAAAAGAGTAAACAAAATTAAATAAAAGTTACTAAAACAATTATAGTTTCCCTCTGAAGAAAAATGGTCAGATGCTACATATGTTCAAAGCATGCTGCCATGTAATAGTAGGCACTGAGTGGTGCACTTCATGAATTTTAATAACGCAGTGCAGTAAGATTTCAAATGTCACCTTGCAACTCCCATTAAAGCATATGTCAAGGTAAATAGGAAACACATATGCAGTACATTTCTGCAATACATGCATATTTCCCCATGTTTTATTCCTTACCCTGCCAGTACAGAAAAATACCTGTTGATCTGCCAGAAATGTGCTCCTAATTTCCTAAAGATAACACAGATAGCACAGGTCACATTCTGACAGAGTCAACAGGTACAATTTTTTTTACATTTTTTTTGCACTAGGGCTTCATTCACACCTATAGTTTAGGTGCGATTTGGTATGCCTGCGTAAATTTATTTTTTATAGTCCGCAGAAAAAATAAATGGTGAGGTTCCCCTCAATTAATACCAGACACTTTAGGTCTGTTTGGAGGGACCACCCAAGTTAAAGAAAAAAAAAACAGTGGGGTACGCTCCAAAGGTCATGCCAGGCCTTTTAGGTCTGGTAGGAATTTTAAGGGGGAATCCCACCCCCCAAAAATTGGGGGTGGGGAGAAACGTGGGGTCCACCCTAATTCCTAGTAGACCCTTGACTCAAGCACAGGCCCAGCAGGGCAGGAAAGGGGGGCACAATCGAGCACTCCCCCTCAGCATTGGGAGGGTGTCCTCATGCCGATTGGGACAAGGGCCTCTTCCCCACAACCCTGGCAAGTTGGTTGTAGGGGATGCGGGCAGAGGGGCTTATTTGCTTTGGGGTACCCCTTTAATTAATTAATTGCATTAATTAATGTAATTCCAGATGCTGCAGCCCCCCCCCCCCTTTTAAATGAGTAAGGGGTACTTGTACCCCTACTCATTCACTAAGGGGTTGAAAGTAAATGTAAGTAAACATTTAGAAAAAGTCCTTTAATTGCTGCAACAAAAAATTCATTTGTAACGAAAATTCGTACATATTATCGCCAACAAAAGTATTGGCTTTCTAAATCCTGAAAAACTAAATAATAAAAAATCCAAATGAAAACTAAACAAAACACATTTTTAGCCGGCGCACATGTCTATAAACAACATGCTTTCAATTATACTGTATATTTAGCAGACCAAAAGAGAGCAAAAAAGAAATGTATTGCTCGCAGTTAACATACATTTTAATACAAGAAAGCCTCCTTTCTGCACCTGGAAATGGAAATGGGAAAGATGAAGTTTTAGATATATAGAAGACATCATAACGGAGAAAGCTGAGTTGAAGTTACTGGTATTAGTCAAAAATACTGAAGAATCCTCGTTGGAGAATATATAGAATTGGATTTCAATGGTATTGAAAATTAGAATTAAAAGATTATTATCAAAAAGTTAAGTACGAATAGAGAATTTATGACCTTGAAAATGTAGAGCCCTGAGAAATTCTGGGTGGTGTTTACACCGGCCTTTGTAAGTTCCACACCTCCTGGTAAACTAACCATAACGTAAAGTAAATACAAAATTTAAAAAATCCAGCATGTACCAAAAACTGAAATACCCTTTTATAAAATATTAGGTGCTCATTTTGATGGTGCTGTCAAAAGAAAATTAAAACAGCAAGGTTAAGAATTCCTTCCAATATTCTATTGCATCCAATCAGGGATGTATTCATAATGTGTACAGTGTGTAGTGCACACAATCCCCATAGGGGATGGGCCCTACTGTGCATTCACTGCACACATTGGGGCAATTGCACATCGGGTACCACCACTTACAAGGTGCCCTAGTGCAATATGCAAAGTTACTGGTTACTGAAACGCAGCGTGCATTCCAGCACTTGGCACTAAAAGAATCCCTTGTCCAACGTCCTTGGACACTGGCAAAGGAAGGTGGGCCCAGGCAGGTCCGTGCTGCAAAGCACTTATTGGATGCAAACTGCAAACTCACAACAATCAGTAGGTCTAGAGACAACTTAAATTGAAACGATGATGTATAGGAATGACCGTAGTAATTTCAGCAAACCTGATTTGGTAGCGAAATTGTCAATTTCAGTATTGGCAAAATGTAACTAATGAAACAATCAATTTCATTCATTGAGCTGCTCAGGTGAAATTTGTTTAAAGGAGAATTATGAGGCGAGTGATTTTTACTCAGCCTCAAAATCTGAGCCGACCTGTGACAATTAAACTGTCACAGGTCGGCTCAGTAGATCGGGAGGTGAGCGAACACATACCGTCACTCGCTCACTTCTCGATCTATCCTTGCAGAGAGCTGTGACTGTCACTCACGGCTCCCTGCAGAGATCCCCCCCTCCCCTGTCCGATCCTCCAGCGCTGACTGGCGGAACGGACGGGGAGGGGGCGGCCGGCGGGGCCGGGCGAAGCGGGGGGGGAGGGGGCGGATACAGCTGGCTCTGCCTCCAGATAGGCAGAGCCAGCTGTCACTCACGCAGCTGGGTGGATCCAGACAGCATTGTCAGGATCCGTTCCGGCTGCGGCGTCTCAGTATACCGCGAGCTGAAGCTCACGGTATACTGAGCTTTGGGTGACGGGAGGACGCTAGTTTGTGTCCTCCCGTTACCCTTAGGAGTACTATGGGGAAAAGCACTGACCCCATAGTTCTCCTTTAAACAACTCTACTCCACTTTAGTTAGAAGGGGTGTTCTCAGGGAAGAGTCTTTAGGGTAGTTTAGTTTATTTCATTCAGTGGGGTTTTTGTGTGTGTTTATTTTCCTTTTTCTCCAGTATTTGATCATTATTTCTGTCTCCTCATTTTTTTTGCTTTTTTTTTTTTACCACTTTTCTGTGAAAAAAACAGAAAATAATGAGGTTAACTGAAAGGAGCTTCTGTACCCCTACTGACTCCAAAGCATTGTGCCAAAATAGTAACATTTTGGTGAAATCTCCTGAATGTATCAAAATTTGAGGGAAATGAAGGCTTTCAATTTCGCTCATCCCTAGTAGTGGAACTTACACCATAGCAGTACTTCAAGTCAACCTGAAAGACAAATTATGCCAGGAGAGCAGCTGCTATGAAATTGTTATACCAACTATACCTTTTGCTTTGCTCCTCATAGTGATGTTTATTTTTTCCCCTTTTCTTCATTATGCTAAACAAAAGTTCTTTTTGAGAACACAGACTCTGATTTTCCTGATGCAGATTTTCAATTTCTGAATGGAGTGATTTATTTTCACTTGCTGATGCTTTGACAGCATTTTCCAATGTATGACTGTGCTTCTTCAGAGCTGACACTTCAAGATGAAGGCTCTCATTAATCTGTTTTCAATCAAAACACAGGCATGTGACAATTATCCTATATCCACTAAGATATTATATGCACAAATTTACAACTGCCCGAAACACTGATGTCTTAATTAATAGCCTTCTCAGTGTCATCCAGATGTAGCACAATACCCAATGGTTTTAATTTACATAATACTATTACTTTAGTAGTAATTGAATTACGTTCATCATAAATCACAATGTAATATAATAAAATGAGTTATATTAACATTTAGAAAGGTCTTATGTTGCAACAGGAATTTGAACTTCAGCATTTTTTTATGTTACAAATTTTCTAGGGCTGTTACTGATTAAAATTTTCGTGTTCGATTAATCGAAATTCTTTTTAATCAATTAATCGATTAATTTCGATTAATTATAACGCACATACAGATCCAACTACATTGGCCTATACACATACAGCACAGCAATTAAGTAATAAAATGAACTAGGATCACACTAATCCAGCACGTTATTAATCTCACGTGCCCCACTCAATTTGGCCGCCGCAAGTGGGGCAACTCAGAATAATAACGTGCTGGATTAGTGTGAGCCTAGTTCATTGTATTACTTCATTGCTGTGCTCTATGTGTATAGGCCAATGCCTTGGCTGGCACTCGTGCAGAAAGAAAAAAAGATTTAATCGATCAAAAAGATTAACGATTAATCGAGAAATGAATCGTTAATTTGCACAGCCCTAAAATTTTCTTCAAGAGTGCATGCAATAAGCCTTTTGTATCTTAAGGTGGCCATACACCTGCCGATTATCGTACGATAATCGCGGGAAATCCCGCAATCGTACGATAATCGGCAAGTGTATGGAAGGCGTGCGACCGCTTCTACTGTACGGTCGCACGTCTTTTGTCCTACGAGCGTGTTTGAAAAACAGCCGAAAATCGTAAGATTTTCAGTGGGTTTGTGGCATGCTCGTAAGACATATGCCGCACCAGCGTGGCGGGCTTGCGATGATCGCAAGTACGATCTGCCTGTCCAAGATGGGCAGATCGTGCGATGGTTGTAAAGTGTATGGCCAGCTTAATAATGTGAATTTTTTTTAGTCTTAAAGTCATGTGTTGCACAGTCTGAATACAATTACACTGAATTTGATTAGTAGCTGGAAGGGCTCATCATCTTCATAAGTGTAGGGGTTTTTTTTTAATGTCCTGCGCACTGCAATATTTTGTCAATTGCCCAATATTGGTAAGGTGTAACTTGCTAACTGGTACTGGTAAATTTGTGTGACATTTATATATCAATGAGAAATGATAATTGCACCAAAGGTTATAGCTTTAAATGCAAAAATAAGCAGTGGATTAGAAAAGGATGTTTATATCTCCAGGGGAAAGGAGGTTTTTACTTTTAGGTCCTGTCAATGGGCAAATGCAGCATGCTTTCAGGTGTATTACGCTTGCACTTGACATAAGTTTGAGACACTTCTGAGATCATTTGGAGTTTATTGACAGGAGTGTTTGACCTGAAGTTGACCTCTTTCTAAGCTGCATCAACCTGCTTTCCCAGGGGAGAGAGAAGGAGTTTTCATGTGAACAAAAGCGGACGACACGGACCCTTACACTGATTGCAGGACCTGTTGTATCTTTATAATGTAATTATATTTATGGGGTCTGTCTACAACTTGCAAATAAGAAGCATTAATACACTACTAAAGCAAGAAGGAGCTAAAATTAATTCTATATTCTATATACTAACATTTCTATTGGCCACTATTTGAGACTGAAGCTTCACGCATTCCTTCTCCAGTTTCTTGGAGGTGACTTTTGCTTGGTAAAGTCCAGAATGAAGTGACGTGTTCTCCAGATCCAGGGCTTCTCTCCCACGTTCTGCGTTGCTGCATTTAGCTTCCATGAGTTCTGCATGTTGTCTCAGTTCTTCTTGCATCTGAGGACATATTGTAGATATTAATGTTTAAAATAGACCTTCCACTTTTTGGGTAAAGATAATTCTTTACATTCTATAAACTATATTCTATAAAAAATTGTAGTCCTTTGGACAGTGTGATTATCCTAAACGAAAAATTAATTTTATTTATGCAAATCCTGAAAGTTAACTGAAGTTGAGGACTTATAGCTGATCTCCAGGAAGATATAAAATAAACAAATGAATGAAGCTCTGTAATCATTAATAAACCATAAAATGTATTTTTTTTACATTTTAATCACTGTAATTACCTGAATCTGACTTGGTATGGATCTCTTTCAGTCTACTGTACAGCAGAGCTCAGAGGGGGGTAGAGAGAAGCAGCACAAGGAGCCAATCAGGTGTGTTGCAGTGCAAGGAGCATGCTGATCAGAGAAAGCAAATGACAGAGCAATGAGCTTTTTAGTGTGCTGATTCTCCTTTCACTGTACAGTCACAAGTAGGGGTGGGGAGGAGATCTGGTGGAATTGTAGCAGAGAAAAATCAGGCCCCTCTTCTTCCAGGAAGCATTGTGCTATGTGGCACAACTTTGTAAATCTCAGCACTGGAGGACCAGGTGATCCACATCCAATGTCCCTACCTGTGACACAAACCCTGGAACACCTCTGAGTGTAGGACCCATACCCGTAGATCTAGGTGCTTCTGGCTGAGGAAGTCCGTCTGCCAATTGTGTACACCTGGAATGTGTGAAAGGGCTGAATAAGCTGGAACGTGAAGGTCTGTCCTTGAAGCATTACAAGGCAAGCACAGGCATTAGAACCTTGGTGAACATACTGGATGTGTTGGAGAGGACAAATGGTAGAGCCACAAACTAAAAGTGCTATGGGACCCACAGCAAAGCAAAAGAATCACTAATATGCTGGAAAAATAGGGACATGCAAGTACATATGCTTGATGTTACTGGGACCAGAAAGTCTCCCTTATGGTGGAAGGCTATGACAGACCTGGTGGATTCCATACAGAATTGTTGGGTCTAAATGAAGACATTTACATCCTTGAGATCCAAGATGGGAGAAATGCCCCTGTTGGTTTGGGATCTGTGAAAATTTTGAATAAAATGCTTGAAACTTTTCTGCTACTGAAACTGGTGCAATACCCCTGATCCAGAAGAGATGCATAAAGGTCTACTAACCTGTGTGATGCAGGAAGGCTGGCAGACCTGAACCGGTGATGAGGCTGTGAGTGGAACTCTAGCTTGTAGCCCTTGTAAACCATCTAGCTTGCCCAGGCATCTTAGATACTATCTTTCTAGATGTCTGCAAACACTAATGGACACAGAAAGTATAGGTTCCCCTTCATGCTGAGAGGACTTGTCTGCAGGTTTAGGGAACTTTGATGCCATGGGCTTGAGGTGAAACTGGGCTAATGACTTGGGTTTGGTCTTCGAACTTAAAAGTCTGAAAGTAGCAAAATGAACTCTTCTTGGCCTCAGAGGGGGACGGTGGGAATTTTCCTATCTTGAGGCCTTGGTTTCTTTTACTGGAGTAGATGAGTACTCTTACACCCAGGGTCATCCTTGATTGTGGTGTGCATTTATAAGGCTGAGGAGGTAGCCACACCTTATGGAATCAGGATGGAATCAAGGAAGACTCTAAAAAATATAGGTCAAGCAGGGGACAATTTTCCATGCTGTTGGTGTCAGGCCCTTGACAGGAAACACTGCAGGCTGCCAGAGAACTGTTAGTGGATAGTGAGTTGGAGGGACCAGATACATCGGACTGTTTGTGATCCGACATGTTGAAGGGACACCTTCACTCAGAATACCAGGTAAAACCTTATTTACTCAATAACCAACTGCTAAGAGCAGGAGATGTTCAAACGGCCAGAGATGACCAAGTCACTGTAGAAGGCAGCAAAGGTTAACTGAGGTGGAACCACATGTCCCTTGCAATTAGAAGCAGTGGCGGGAATTGCTACCTCATGCTGAATGGAAAGGACAACACTCCACTTAGTGACATAGCAATCACCAGCAGCACCTTTTTCTCTCTGCAAATACTCGGTGATGTTTCCTTAATTACTCCATGTCTCTTCCAACACACACTAAACAGATGCTCAAAACCCAGCCTTTACAGGGAAGGGACTGGCACATTATAAGCAGATCACTTATATTTAGGTAAACCATCTTCCAGCACAATGAGAAGCACAATGTCAGCCAATCAAGGAGCTCTAAATCAGGCAGGCCAGATGGGGGACAATATTACTCTTCACAATGTATCTCCCTTTTCTGACCAGTCATCAAAAACATGATCATATGTACATTACATGTCCCACTGCATAAAGGAGTGGTCCTGATGGGAAACCATAGATTTGTCTGTCTACAAAAATTCTAATTCTGGGTGTATTGCCCATGTTGCTGGGCAATACAATTTTACATTTTCTCAAACCTAATATATGGATAGAGAGGGAAAAAAAGACAATAAACTTTTTTACCAGCTTTTGTAAGTGATTGTGTTATATTGTAATTTAGTGTGATGTACCTCTGCTTCTTCGTTTTTCCTTTCTTCAAATAAGTTCCATCTGTGGAAGTTATTTTCCTTCAACAAAGAATATCTTCTCATCTTCATTTTGATCTCATTTATTTCCCTTTCTAAATCAGTAATTCTATGAACAGATAAAATCATCTTGAATAGCAAGTACAACATTTAGCCAGTTTGCTTTAGTGCTTCCTCCCCCTACCCACCTCTCCAAGCAGAACATAATTACCTTTCCCTCATACCTCCACTGCTCTGCTCAGTTACTGAGAACATGGAAAGGAAGCCGTCTGCAACCTCCTCATTCCTCTAGTCAGAGGCTACACAGGCCTGAGGACTTTCCACCACTGTCATGTGACAGCTTTGGGCCAAACACCAAGCACAAGCGCTTTCATATGGAAATAATTGGATTGAGCCACATGCTCCTCCATGCCTGGAAATTTCAGGCACTTTCCATGCTTTTGGATTTAGGTTTATATTAATTAATTAATTATTGCATTAATTGATATTACATGGATGTGATAGTACTCCTATTAGAACAGTGAAATTGTATCTTGTACCTGTATACCCTTTATGGACCAGAACAATTTTTACATTTCCACTATGGGCCTGTTTAATGTACAAAACTATTCATGGGGAAAGTCATGACATTTTTTGTATGTTTTAATGTTAACTAACTACGTATATTTGGAAACTCTTACTTACTGTTAACTTACTGTTACTAAGTATATTTGCATAAAGATAATGGTATAAATATATAACAGGTGTCACTCTGCTGCCTATGCCCTCTTTCCTCAACCTTGTCATTTATCTCGTGTTATATACTGTATGTGCAGTATAGGTTATTCTGTAGCGTGCATATTATGTGGGCATATGTGCTATGCATTGTATCTAAATGTTATGCTATAATTTACAGACTTCTTAAATAGATGTATTTTAAAGATGATACAGAATAATATATTGGCATCTCATGTGACGTTGCATTTCTTAGTACATACCTACTGGAATCAATCTTCGCTGGTAAGTAATCAAAACACTGGTGTTCTTTAGTTTGAACTATATCTCGACTGACAAAGCCTGGGCATAAGTTGTTGTGTTTCAAGTAAGAAAATCTTGATTCCAAACGCTAGAAAGATAAAATGGTAGTTTCTGCTTTAGATTTTTGGCAGTTGTGGAAGATGAAAGAAGGGGAAAGAATATTGGATTTTCAACTAGAACATAGAGTGTTATGAGTTAATATTCATGTGTTTACCCTAAAGCAAATAAGCAAATTCTGAGAATTGATAAGACGCAGCCAGTACCTACCTGCTTTCTAGAGCAGATTAACTATCAGCAGGTACAGTAGGGCTTTAAAGTGTGTGAACCCTTTTACATTTTCAATATTTCTGTATAAATGTGCAGAAATATAGAAAGTCATGACCTATTTTTCACATAGGTCCTAAGCATTGATAATGAGAACCCAGCGAAACATGAAAGTCAAAAACATTATAATTGTTCATTGATTTATTGAAGAAAATGATCCACAGGTATATATTTGTGTGTTGCAAAATTATGTAGGTTTCTCAGTCCATTTAAGGTGTTTTAATCAATAGAACGATTACCAGATGTACTCGTGGGACTTATTTAAAGAATGGAGTACTGGGTCTACCCTATCAACACAGGTTTGTGAAAGTGCTTATTCATGTTTATCAGGCTGTAAAAGGTTATACAGATTGTGTAGATGGACAGCTGCTAGACACTGCCCTGTCCCTTGTGATCTTGTACTTAACAGGAACTTCAGGAAAGCCGAGCTGAGAGAGTTGGAGTTGTTCAGAAACATGATGACTGTAAGTGCTTAGATGAAAATGTAAAGAAATACTGTGCAAATGCTGTCCAATGTATATATGTTTGATCTGGATTTATCATTGAAAAAAGTTTGAGAGTTTATTACCGGTACTATGTTACTGTAAGTCAGAGAGTTTAGGTAACTGTGAGAGTTAACCTAAGCACACAATTTTTTTTAAATTAAACTTTTTCAATTTATATGCTTTTTATACAGCCTACCTCAAAGTACTTAATTAACAAAGTCAGTGACAAATTAGCAATCAGCAGCAGGGCTCAGGCATACATTATGCATGGAATGCAGGGCTCAAGAGTGCCCAATACAATGTATTATGTATTATGTATTACTATGTAGAGTATGTATTACACAGAATGTAGAGGTACCGAGTGGGCAGGGGTCAACGGTGTATATTGGACAGAATGCAAGGGTCAGGAGTGTGTATTGCACAGACTGCAGGTGTTAGGGGTCGGTATCACACAGGGTGGAGGGGTCAGGAGTGTGTATCAGAGAGAGAGCAGGGGTTAGGAATGAGTATCACACAGAGTACAGGGTTAGGAGTGCATATCACACAGAGTGCAGGGATAAGAAATGGGTATTACACGGAGTGCAGGGGACAGGATTGCATAACACAAAGAGTGCAGGCGTCAGGAATGCATAAATTAGAGAATGTAGGGGTCTGGAGTACATAACAAACAGACTGCAGGAATCAGGAAAGCACAGCACACAGATGTAGGGAGTATGAGCCACACAGAGCCCAGGGGTAAGGAGTGAGTAATGCACAGTGTGCAGGGGACAGGAGTGCATAACACAGAGAGTGCAAAGGTCAGGGGTATGTAATGCACAGTGTGCATGGGTCAAAATGCTTAACAGAGTGCAGGGGTCCGGAGTATGAAACATACAGAGTGCAGGGTTCAGGTGTAAGTAACAAACAGAATGCAGGGGCCCGGGGTGTGTAGTGCACAGAATAAGGGGCTCAGGAGTTTGTAGCACCAAGACTGCAGAGTTTAGGATTGTGTAACAGCCCAATGTTCAAAGTTCAACCGAAAATTACCACCTCCTCTCCATACAAATCCCCCCAGTTCAGATCCCCCCGCAGCCCTAAACCCCCCCTCCAGTACAGACTGTCCTCTGCAAAGCCACACCCCCCAGCACAAACATCCCCCCCCCACCAACCTCCAGTACAGACTAAACCCCTCCAGCACAGAGCCAACACACCAGACCTCAGATGCAGTGGCCATTCAGAGTAAGGAGATGTCCTATCCTTGATTGTGTCACCAAAGCTGTGGAGGAGCTAAAGGAGAGCCTCCCACAGTTCTGAACTGCCACTAACAGGTGAGTAGAAGTGATGCTGCAATGTAAGTGCCATAGAAACTGCTGTACTGACCAGAAACAAATATTAGCCAATTGCGACCTCAGAATTCAGGGCTCCTCGCAAAAGATGCAAAACATGTGCCCTGGTGCTAGGGACGCCTATGACACCAATTAAGTCCTTTAAGTATTTCTCTCTGCAGCTCAGTTTACCCTGCTTTCCCCTCCCAGCAATAACTTGGCAGCCTTACAGCCATATAATCATAATTAATATATACATAGAACGAGTGCTTTTGGAAGGGGAAGTGAACTGAGCTTTCTCAGAGAAAGGCTCAGACAATTTCAGTGTTTCTGCTGGAACCTTTGAGCATGAAGTCATAGTTCCAGACTACCTTTCAGTTGGAGAGGGACTGTCCCTCTTTTGTAATCAAATCCATATGTTCCTCTTTCCTCCTCTGTTGTTTCTTCTTTTAGTCTGATTTATGTATCGCTATAAGAAAAAGTACTATTGAACTACCAGAACTATTGTACTAAAATAAACTTTTGACTTCTCAATTATTGCATTAGGTTTTTTGTTTTTTTAAATGCCAGTATAAAGTCAAAGTAAGGGGTTAACCTATACTGTGTATGGGTTTTACTAATCATTTTTGACCTATTAATTCATCATGGCCCAGATACAGGTGGCATGGCAGTGATATTTGCTTACATACTTTGTGCAAAAAGGTATACCTCTTGCTCATCTCATAAATTGGTAGGTATGTCAATTATTCCACAGTGCTCACAGCTACATCGGTAGCTGAGGGCCTGATTTAAACCTCATTTATTGTTTGTTAAGAATATGTAAATACTTAAATGTCCATAGTCTGGCTACAGGTTCAAATTAAAGCATATATAACCCCAAAAGCAAAAATTAAATACTTTGCAGCTTACTGGTACTTAAATGTGGTGGATGCATAAGTTTAATTCTTTCAGGTTTAGTAAGTTTTCCACAAGTACATAGATACAGTGTAGTGAATAATATTGCCACCCTAGGACAGGAAGTGTTTTATTCGCTGTGTTACTAGGTAAAAGTAGAAAAAAAAGCCAGAGAAAGGGAAACTAACACAGTCACCACATTGAAGGACTAGCTGCTATACAGCGCAATGCAGAGTAACGCCAGCTACAGAGGACTACAAATCCCAGCAATAGTACATATGTAGTATAATGTAGTATTGCTACATTCCTCTATAGCTGCTGGTATTCTGCACTGCGCCGCTGTATTATGTACTATATTGCACACCACACTCTTTTTTTTACTTCTACCGCGCCAAGCTTGCTCCCGTGATGGACTACAATCTCACCACAAACTAGTAGTCCATCACTGGAGCCTTTTTTTTTTTTAATCCGATTAACCGATTAATCGAACTTAATAATCGGCCAACTAATCGGTTATGAAAATAATCGTTAGCTGCAGCCCTAGCAAATATATACACTTTTTTTGGTTTAGATACGCTTTAAAGCCCTTTCTCCACTATTGCTGTAGCTATTATGTCAGCAGCAGCACCAGAATGTAAACAAGTTTGTGGCCACTATAGCAGCAGGAAGTGTGTTTACATTTATACTCCTAGCCGCCAGCTTTCACATAAAAATGATTTGAGCTGTATAGTCACACAACCACTTCTGTACAGTGAGGTGCATGTTTTTGTTCACTGCTTTATAAATATGCTCTTATGATTGTTGTAAGGGATATTTTGTGGGACAGGGACGTGCGGTGAGGTCAGTGGCAAGTAGGCACCCCCCCCTGCCCGCTCCAAGCCCGGTCACAAGCTATGTGTGGATGAGAAAGGGAGGAGCCTCCCTGTCCCTCACTTGCTCGTCACTGATGAGACATCTAGATGGATTCCGTCATTTTGTTTTTGGTTGGACAGCTTGGACCAAGGGCACTTTACCATGGTCCAAACCATCCACAGAGCTCAAGAGGCTTGTTGTAGCTCTGACCTCACTGTGTTAGGTTACACACATCAGCGGTGAAGCGCCGCCTATAACTAACAGGCGGCACTCCATCCATGACAGGTTACACAGCAGGGAAAGCCACCTGTTAGAAGCCGGTCTGAATAGAATGAAACATTAATTACATAATTAAATAAAAAATACATTAGAAAACATCACATGGAACATGTATCATGGATGTTTATGTCGACTTTACAATCCATTCATGGTATAATTAGATCATGCATGATAGCACTGTAAATGAACAGTCTATGTTACAAGCATGCCATTGTTGAAAAATACCTCTTGCCTCAGCAACAAATGTTCAAGTGTCACATCGCTGTTGACTATGTCGTTTTCTTGCTGTTGTAAGCAGTGCTTCTGATGTTGCAAGGCATGGTGTGCATTCCTTAGGCTCACGTGAAGAGCCGATCTTTTCTTCTCTGACCAAGCTAGCTCGTTTTTTAATTCATCCTCAAAATATCCTGGGCTTGAAGAACAACTTTGAAAATCACAGAAATGAATGTTAAGGGTATAAAAAGGCCAGAAAACTCTATTTAACATTGATAATTCAGTTTTGCTTGGCTGCTGGCAAGTTGAATCACATGCTTTGCCTCTCAATTTCCACAAACTAATAACAAAAATAAACTAATCGAATAAAAAAAAAATTTAAATGTTAAAGGGGTTAAAAAGAAATACAGTTAAAAAATAGGTTTTCATACTTTACTCAGATTTGATTGAGGAACAAAGCTTTGATGATAATAAGGAACCTAGGGTTATACTGATGCCTACAAGGAAAATGGACACTAGAAACATAGAACTGATGGCCAGCCACCTTAAGAGTATAACTCCTGGGGGCGTGTCCTAGATCTCATGGCGGCAGGACGCACCTAAGCTGAGCTCCGGGCTTCCCCTCTCTGCAGACAGGACAACCTGTCCATTACTCACTACTCTGCACACATTGCTTACCAGCATACCAGTATACATACTGCCATGAAGAAAGGTACAGGGCGCTCCGGCTCGGGCTCCGCAAAAATGCCAAATAAGGGGGTAATCACACGCTTCCTGGCGACGGAGCAGCAGGAACGATTGCGAGGCTCTCCAACACGGACAGACGCGTTATCTGACCCAGCCATGCACGAGCGAGGAACAGAGGGGTTAGCTGCCTACACTGAGCTAAACGAGACCCGAGATCGACGCTCGCTGTCCCCGGTGGACAAATTGGTGAAAGCATTACCCACCAGAAACGAACTGACAGCTATGTTTACCCACTTGGAGCAATCCCTTAAAACGGATATTTTATCTCTCAGAGGGGAGATTACACACCTGATTCAACGTGTGGAAGAAAGCGAACACCGCCTGGATCAGCAAGCAAGGGTATTGTTAGCTCTGCAAACGCAAGTACATTCGCTGTCCCATTCTCAAAGAGCTATTTCTTATCGTTTGGAGGACCAACATAATAGGGGCCGCAGAAATAATCTCCGAGTACGAGGTCTCCAGAAAACCATGTCGGATGCAGACCTGATTACTACACTCAGGAAGATTTTTTATAGTATATTGGGACAGGCACCTACAACCCCACTGCTGTTCGATCGGGCACATAGGGCAATGCGCCCGCGGGGCCTTATGTCGGAGGCACCTAGAGATGTCATATGCCGTCTCCATTACTATACTGATAAAGAAAAAATCTTGAGGAAACTAAGAGAACAGCCTCTACAGGAGATTGAAGGTATGCAGATACAGATATATCCAGACCTAGCCAGGGAAACTTTGAGGAGACGCAGGGAATTGCGCCCGCTGCTGGAAAACTTGAAGAAAGCGGGTATAACTTATAGATGGGGGTTCCCTTCCTGTCTTTTGGCCCGAAAAAACGGGAAAATGGCGACCCTTCGATTTCCGGAGGATCTTGAGCAATTTTGCCAAGTCTTAGAAATTCCAACTCCAGCACTACCTGACTGGCTAGAGGGGATACAGAGTGTGGATCCGGTCTTGGACGCTCCCTGGGCCCCGACAGCACATTTAGCTGCTTCACAACAGGCTGGTGGATTTACATGAACGACGCATATGCGGTTGGGAGTTGGTGAGATTGTTTTTGCTCCAAAACAGCTGCTTAACCGCCTAGTGGTATAGATAATAATGGTGATATAAATGACTGTTGGAGGGAATAAGGGAAAAAGGGGCAAAAGTGGGATAAAGTATAAGTTAAGTGTATCTGCTCCCTGTTCCCTGTTGATCCTCTAGCTGTTTTCACTATTTAGATGGGACGTCCGAATATTCTAGTTATATATGTATATATGTAAACTGCACGCTCGGGCCTGTGCTCGGGGCGAGTGTGCGGTTGATTTTCGCAGACTGCGGAGGGGGGACAGGGGAGCTTCCGGACGTCTCGCGCCCTTCTTTGGTAGGTGCAATTAATGGAGGTGCCCTCCGCACACCTTTCAGCAGTCCCGGCCAACAATCAAATAAATGGTGCTCGAAGTAACTTCACGGATGGCACCGTGCAAAACACAAGATTGAAGAAAATAGGTCACCAGCACTCCATAAGTTAAAATGAATGAGTCCTTTTAATGGACAATGATGTCACAGAAATCCAACATGAGCCGACGTTTCGGGGCCACACAGGGTCCCTTCTTCAAGGCAAGAGATGTGACGGTCACATCTCTTGCCTTGAAGAAGGGACCCTGTGTGGCCCCGAAACGTCGGCTCATGTTGGATTTCTGTGACATCATTGTCCATTAAAAGGACTCATTCATTTTAACTTATGGAGTGCTGGTGACCTATTTTCTTCAATCTTCTTTGGTAGGTGACGAGACGCCTGCGCTGGGTGTGGGGTGATCTGCCGGTATTGGGAATTGCCATGTCTACCTCTATTTGTGAAATTGGTTCCAAGGAACCTCAGATTAATGAAGATTTAAGTAATGGTACAGATATGCGCACAAATTTTGTGATGGTAAACAACTACTGTACCAGATGTGTTTTACTATTCATTATGTCCTTTTCTTGTTTTTTTGTTTGTTTTTTTGGTTGTGTGTTATTTATATTATTTTGTTTTTTTTTGTGTTTTTGTGATTTTTCACCTTGGACCTATGGACCCTGCCCTTCCCCCTCTGTATTAGTGCGAGCGCACAGCGAGCTACATCTCAGGTAAATGACTTATCTAAATATATTAACCTACAATATTCGGGGGCTAAATACACCTGCGAAGCGACATCAATTTTTCAGTGAGCTGAGGCGGCTCCATTGCGATATTGTATTTATACAGGAGACTCATCTCTCTCATCGCACTGGAGTACGCCTGAACTCGCTACACTATCCGACTTGGTTCTATAGTACCTCGCCATCAAGTAGCTCTCGGGGTGTGGCAGTTGGTATCCATAAAAATGTTAACTTGACCCACATATCTACAGAAATAGACCCTGATGGTAGATTCTTATTCCTTAAGGGCCAGGTTGATAACCGTACAGCGACATTAGCGAATATATATGCACCTAATAGAGACCCAGTCGGGTTTTTACGTAACACATTGGGACGTCTGAAAGACTACCAGAAAGGAATTAGGATATTAGCAGGGGATCTTAACCTCCATTTAGATCCTGCTTTAGATCTATGGCTCGCTCCCACATAGCTTACAAACGCCTTCATTTTTTAAAAACACTCTTACACAAAATGCAATTGATAGACACTTGGAGGATATTACACCCTCAAGAGCGTGATTATACGTTTTTCTCCTCTATCCACAACACTTATACACGGATAGATTACATATTTGTGGCACATCACTATTTACATATGGTAAATAAAGTTTCAATTTTGCTCTCCACATTATCAGACCATGCTCCGGTACTACTATCAATGAAGCTGTCGAGGGATCCGTGGTCGCCTCAGACTTGGAGACTGAATGAGTCGCTATTACTTGATAAGGAAATACTTGGGGCTGTTGAGCAGGATCTTACCCATTATTTCTCTGAAAACTCAGGGGGAGAAGTGTCACCAGGGATTCTCTGGGAGGCACATAAAGCGACTATAAGGGGTGCCCTTATCTCATATGGGACTAGAAAGAAGAAGGAAGCTAATACTAAAATATTAGAATTAACGGGGAAGGTAGCGGCCTTGGAAAGCCGTCATAAACGAACGATGACCGAGACAGATTTAATGGCTTTGACAGCTGCCAGGGAAGCTCTCTGAGAGGCCTTATTAAATAGATACAAACGTTCCCTTAATTATTTTTCCCAGCGGTCCTACGAAATAGGTGAAAAACCCGGAAAGTTTCTAGCTAAATTACTTAAACAGGGACAAGGAACAAACTTTATAGCTAAAATCAAATCTAAACAGGACGTACTGGTACATACCACCCAGGATATCTTAACTGTTTTCCGGGAATTTTATGCCTCTCTTTATAACATCAGGCCCCACTCAACCCCTCAATCTAAGCAAATACACATGGATAGTATTAACAACTATCTGGCAGCTAGTCACTTTCCTAAACTAGAGGAGATTCAATTGGAGGCCCTGGAATCCCCTATTACGAACTAGAAATTAAGCAAGCGATTGCTTCAATGGCTGTGGGTAAAAGTCCAGGCCCTGACGGGTATAGCCTTAAATATTATAATATGTTTCAAACTTTATTAATTCCCCATCTTAACGCTTATTACAACTCCTTTTTGTTGTGGTCACTGAGGGGCGCTGTAAAGCTTTCTCGCACAGGGCGCCTAAAGACCTAAGGCCGGCCCTGACTTTATGTCACATTGGAATTGGGCCGAAGTTCCTGGCAGGGATAATGGCTTTATATACGCATCCTACAGCTAGTGTAAAGATAAATGGTAGTTTATCAAAGGAGTTTTTTTTATTTAATGGTACACGACAAGGATGCCCTCTTTCACCCTTTTTGTTTGCGTTATTTTTGGAACCACTTCTCACTAATATTAGACAGAATCACAATATCGCAGGCATTACAGTAGAAAACTATGAACATAAACTAGCTGCATATGCAGATGATATTCTGTTTTTTATTCAAACACCTCAGATTTCTTTACCTTCCCTGGTACAGGAATTTGAAACCTTCCACAAAATATCTAATTTCAAAATTAATCTCACTAAATCAGAAATAATGAATATCACGACACCTTTGCACATAGTAACAACACTAAAAGAATCCTTACCTTTTAATTGGCAATTCTACAAGATGAAGTACTTGGGAATATATCTGACCCCAAGCGCCTCAGATTTATATATTGCTAATTATCTTCCTACTCTCAATGCTATCAGAAGAGATCTCACTACTTGGCACCAACACAGACCTTAAAATTTCTCTCACAGGTAGGGTCAACGCTATTAAAATGATGATCCTACCTAAGATGCTATATTTGTTTCAAACCCTACCTATACACCTACCTAGTCACTGTCTGAGCACCCTTAAATCGGTTATAGGGCGATATATCTGGAGACGAGCTTCCGCCAGGATTGCATATAGAACCCTCACTCTGGCTAGGACGGAGGGAGGCCTAGCATTACCAGATCTTACCCTGTATTACCAAGCCGTAGCACTCAATAGGGTGCTAGATTGGCATCATCACTGTAATAGTAAATTGTGGGTGAAGATAGAAGAAAGTCTCTTAGGACAATCCCTACTGAGTACATGTTGGACACCCAGGTCCCTATGGCAAAAGGAATCTGGGATATCCCCCCTGACTGATCATACTCTTAATATCTGGGATAAGTTGTATGTGGATCTGAATGGCCAGTATAATTCACCATTAATACCCTTAACAGGTAATAACTACTTCCCACCGGGGAAGCATAATAGTGGATTTCTGCACTGGACTACATCATCTATATTGAGACTGTTCAAGCTTCAAAATGGAACACAGCTTTACTCTTTACAGCATTTAAGAGAACAGTGGGGGACGTATCCATTTGACTCATGGAGATATAGACAGTTAGACCACTTTATACTTAACCTTCCGAAACCGTTACGATCTATTACGGAG